AGTAGCAACTACAATACGGAAAACTACGAACAAAGGCCTTAATTTAATTTAATATTACTAGAAGTACGAAACCACTAACAGAAGCCAAAATTAATTCATTATCACTAGAAAGATAACGCTAAAAACAGAAACATAAACAAATTGGCACTACTAGAATAACAAAACCACTAAAAAAGGCCTAAATTATTTGATTATCACTACAAAGAAAGTCACCATTAAACATACAAATAAATTTCCTAGGTACCACTAACAAAGGCCTTAATTAATTCAGTATCACAACAAGGATATGGCCATCGAAATAGCCAAAAATAAATTGACTACTACTACCACTACAAAACCAGTAACAAAATAAATTAACCAGTAAATTAATTTTCACTACAAAGACATCACCACCAATAACAACGACAAATAAATTAACAACCACTAAAAGTATGAAACGTCGAACAAAAATTATCTACCTAGTAATTGGCTATCACTACAAAGAAAAACCACTAAAAAAAGACCTAAATAAATTGACTACGTACCATTACAAATACGAAACCACCAACAAAGGTCTAAACTAAATAACCAATCAAGAATATTGCCCCCAAAAAAGGCAAAAATAAATTTACTGCTACTGCCAATACAAAACCATTAACAAATGTCAAAGGCATTACCACGAAAAAAGTCATATAAGAATTGACTGCCACTACAAACACAAAACCACCAACAAAGACATTAATTTGGATATCACAACAAGTATATTGCAACCAAATTGATTACTACTACCAAAATAAAAAGTTAATAGAATTTGTTACACATTAGTGAAAAAAAATTACTTCTACTTCGAAAGACAATATCACTATAAAAAAGATCCCTGCCAACAAAGGCATCAATGAATTGACTACCCCTACAAATACGAAACCACCAACAAAGCCCTAAATTAATTCACTACCACTACAAATACACTGCCACCAACAAAGGCCTAAATTAATTGACTACCACTACAAATACAAAACCAGCAACACAAACCTCTATTAATTAACAATAACTACAAAGACATCGCTACCAACAAAGACAAATGAATTGACTACACCTTCAAATACGACACCACCAACAAAGCCTAAAGTAATTAACTACCATTACAAATATGAAACCACCAACAAAGCCTAAATTAATTGACTGCAACTACAAATATGAAACCACCAACAAATATTAATTGACACGGAAAAATTAATTATTGTAACGTTTTGAACTACAACCACCCTAAAAATATAACCACACGAAACGTCGAATTAAAACAAAAAGTGCATTTAATCTTGCAATCTACGTAAAGCTTAGTCAAAAACTGAACTGTTTGCTGTATATTTATGTACTTGTTGATTGTAATGTAATATTAGTACATGAGATTTCAATCAAAATAAAAAGTTAATAGAATTTGTTACACATTGAAAAAAAAAAAAATTAGAAATTACTTCAAAAGAATCAAAGAAGGCGACTCCCCTCAAGACTATACAGTGTATAATGAAAATATGTAAATAACCTCAAATTACAAGATGTATTAATACAGGTAGTAAGAAAAAAAAAGAAAAAAAATAGCCAACAAAGACCTAAATAAATAAACTATCACTGCAAATGCGAATCACCGATAAATACTAATTGACACCGATAAATTGATTATTGCTACAAGGGCAGCAACAAACACCAGTGATCTTAAAATATATATAGATAGATAACATGCATTATTTACATTAAATAGGAGCATTACATATTATACAATATGTGAAGCATTTTAAAGCATGGATGGTTATCCGTCTGCCGGAAGTTGGCTGTTCTTTTTCAGGCGTGCAAAAAAAAAAATTAAAAATTAACTATATAATAATAGTAATAATAGAAAACTATAAATATCTCTCAATATCTACGATATTTAACCGATCAAGCAACTGAGACCTGGAAAGCGTTTTTTACCTAGATACAGGATACGGAGCTCTGGCAGTATGGGACACTGGGCAACAAAATAAAGATATCTTCCCTAACTCTTCGGTTACAGAGCGCACAAAAAAAATTTCCGTCGTCTTCCTTCCATGGCACATAATTGACGGACACTTCCTCGCATCTAAGTTTAAGTAGCCATGGAAGAGTCGGGAGTTTCATTGAACCACAATCTTGAACGTTTAGGTTAAAAGTTGCCTTAGAGTGGTCTAGGGCCTTAAAAAGGAGATACCTCTTTGGGGGCTGAGCTCGATGCTCACAACTCTCACGATGTTGATCACCTAGCCTGCACGAAAGATCCACGGTATAATTGGGCCAACTCGAGAGGTTTTCTAAACAAAAAGAAAAACTGCAACCATATTGAAAAGCTAATGTATTCCATTGACGAAACCAAGAACCATTAGATTTAATAACCTCGAGAGCAGTAATTTTGGAGATTCGGACAACAGGGCCCTTGAGTACCCTTAAAACAAAATGAGATATGCAAAGAAAGCGTAAAAATGAAAATTGTATATTGCCGTCTCAATATAAAGCATGTAGTTTGGAGTGGAGTTAGGCAATGAGATCTTCCTAATAAAAAAAACGAAAAATATAATACATGTCTTAAAATATAATCATCCACCAAAGGTCAAATTTTAACAAAAAACACATTTAATCTCTGTAAGGCTTACCCAAAAATCGTACTGTTTGCTATTTATTTAGGAATTTTTTGATATTGTAGTTCCTTGGGTGTTCAGTCAGAATAAAAAATTAATAGAATTTATAGCATTTAGGAAGAAAATCTACTCCTACCACTTCTTGTTAGATCGTCGACGCCGAAATCCACAACAAAGTCGACCATGTCGTCTTTCAAAGGGGCCAACTTCCAGGCAAGGCCTATCGGCAAGTCGACACCACGTTTTCAGCCGTAACACTAAACACTGACACTCAACGAACTCCAATTCACATGAGCGATAAGATAACAGCCAGGGAACAAACTAGAAATAAAGGCGAAACTCATCTCAATCGACTTGTGGACGATGTCCGTGAAAAATGTTTCACCTCATTTCAATTGATTGATTCTTGGGGGAGGATCATAGGGACAAATTTGTAAAAAAAATTTATCTCAAATTTAAATTTTTACAGAGGCTATATGAAAAAATTGAAGTTTATGCTTGATCCGAAATCAACATTAAAACTGACTGAAGAAAACGACAGAAAAAAAATCCCTGGCCCTTATAAGTTCAAATTTGATTTTTTTATTTAAAAGCTTTCGACAGGTTAAACTTCCAGTAGATAAACGTGGCCGAAGAGAAAGTTTTTTTTATTTTGCAGCTTTGCTCAGAAATAATTCGTGTTGGAGGATGCCATCCTTGGCATGTCCTTGTATGCCTTTTCCTATTCGATTGCAATCTTACATCCGTGATATTATTTTTACATTAGAAGTGCACTAAAAAAATTTAAAAAATTAAATGAAGTCAAAACAAAAGAGAAAAATTTTAAATTCAGAAATACTGAATTTATTGTTCAGTGCAGGTGCAGATATTGACTTTATTCAAACAACAACTGTAATAACGTGTGTGTGTGTGGTGATTAGTGACCGTTAATCGATATTTATTTAGAAATCGTGAGATGCGGTCTGGTGTGATGTAGGTTCCAGTAAAACATTTTCTTTATCGTGCCAACGTTTCGATCTGTATTGAGATCATCTTCAGGGCTCAAAGTGTTTCTCTTCTGTGTAATTGTGCCATTCTTGCGTATCGTGTCGAGAGTGCAAAAAAAACTGTAATAACAAAAAAGTCCTTTATATTGTTTTAAAAAAGAATATATGGAGAATAAGCATGTAAGGTTCTTGAAATTCTTGAAAATATACATCAGGCTATGTGTAGTAAAATTCCTGCATTCACAATTGTTAAGAACAATTAAATATAAAATAATTGAATTCTTAGTCCATAAGAAAATTAATTGCAAATAAATTTCAAAAATAAACAAAATTAAATAAATATATAAACAATTTATTCATTGAAGTAAACAATATCAAAACAACAATCAGTGTCCGGTTTTAAGTAACCTAATTGATGGTCGACCGTCGACGGGTACTCAATATACCACCATCCGCCATCTCTAACTACACATTCACGCTAATAAATTCATTCTCGACACAAAACTTGACAATAAAACAACCCTGTTTTCTTCAAAAATCAGAACAGTGGAACCATAAATTCGCTGCCGTGTTCAAATGGTCATATCGACTAGCACACCTACACGCTCCCCATATGGAGCCGAGTAGTTGAACCTTTCTAGTAGGTGGGTTCGAGCAATCTTTCTCAACATGCCGGACACACGTCTTTGACCCAACAGTAAGTGTCCGTGTGTCAACCTCGCATGGCCTATTCTTAATCGGGTTTCTTCCTTTCTTCTACGAGTCAGATCGAGATGGCCACCTCCTTCTTGGCTGTATTTAAACTATATATACTTATGTAAAGCATTCTGAAACATTTCAGCACAAGAATGCCATAGCGTGTTTTCAAATTAAGCTAGAAAAGATAAAAAGTATGCTAAAAAGGAGATTTATGCCCATAATTTAATAAAGATAGAAAAAAAAACATTCTAACCGTGATAAAAAGTATTTAAAAACTTAGGCAATGTTGAATCAACGTGAGTGAAATACAAATTGTATATTTAAAAACAAAAAATATACATATATATATACACCTTAGTTTTTTTTTTTTTGTTTTTTTTTGCCGTTGGGTGTATTTACGGTGGAGGTCATCGACATCAGGACCGGAAGACCATCGCTTCAGATGGCGTCATCATTCATCAATGTATCCAAAATAATATATATAATAATCCATGAATAAATGTATCGATGAACCTGAAAAAATCTAATTTTCATCCAGGCCTTTAAAAATTAGACAGTGTATCAAGTGATTCATCCGGCCTTCCCACGACTGGTGACCTGCGTTTACATTCCATTTGTCAACAAATCCATTCGGTTTTTGTTAATTTAGTTTAAAAAAATATATTTAAGTAGATTAACTTTAACTGACCTAAGTTGGTGTTGAGCCCGTTGAAGTTGGTCTGCTCGCTCGGCATTGTGATTCACAATCTCGAAAAAAAGTAAGGATATAAATAATAAAAAAACAACCGGAACTTCTTGGTTAAAAAGAAACACTTCAAGGAATAATGCTAAAAACTCGGATGACCCGATGTCGGGTCTAGGCTAGAAGTAGACTCGTCATCGCGGTTCTGCAGTCATAAACTCACGAAAAAACGAGCCGCTGATTTGACAACGGTTGGTTTTGAGGCTTTGCTGCTGTTGTCGCATAACTCGCAGAAGTCTGCGAATCAATCCTGGGCTGTGCAGTGGGTATCGGTTGGGTGGAGGAAGTGGTGGTGGGGCGAGGTTGTAGACGTCACTAGAGGAAACAACCTCCATCCTCAACCATTCCAATAGTCGGAGGTTCGGCGCATTGAGCTCCTTCCGTACTTAAAATAAGTATTTTGTATACTTAAACTTAACACAAAAACATCGCAACCAACAAAGGACAAATTAATTGACTGCCACTACAAATACAAAACCGCCAACAAAGGCTAAATTAATTGACTATCAATACAAATATGAAACCCGCAACAAAAACCTAAATTAATTGAATATCACTATAAAGAGATTCCCACCAACAAATATTAATTCACACGGATAAATTAATTATTGTAACGTTGTGCACTACAACCACCATTGATCTTACAATGTAACCACACGAAACGTCAAATTTAAAAAAAGTGCGTTTAATCGTGCGATCTCTGTAAGGATTAATCAAAAACTAAACTGGTACATGAGATTTCAATCAAAATAAAAAGTTAATAGAATTATTACCTAAAATGATTAGGAATTACTTCAAAGAAATCTTAACTAATAAATTTTGACTAGGAGCCACCACAAACAGGAAACTACCTACAAAGGCCTAAAATTATTTTATTGTCACTAGAGAAGATACGAAACCTCCAACAGAAATCTAAATTAATCAACTATCATTAGAAAGATATCGCTACCAAGAGATACATGAATAAATTGGCATTAGTAGAAAAAAAAACACTAAAAAAGGCTTAAATTTTTTACTACCATCAAAGATAATGATTAACTCACTATAACGACAAAGACATCACCACGATAAAAGCCATAAATGAATTGACTGCATTGCATGAATTACAACACCACCAACAAAGGCCTTAATTAATTCAATAACACAAGAAAGATATGGCCACCAAAAAAGCCATAAATAAATTGACCACAACTACAAAACAAAACAATTAACAAAGTCCTATATTAATTGACTATCACAACAAAGACAACAATCACTGCAAATAGGCAACCATAAACGAAGACCTAAATAAATTAACTAGATACCACTACAAATACGAAACTACCAAAATGCCTAAATTAATTACCTATCACTATAAAAAAATTTCTACTAACATAAATAAGTTGACCATCACTATAAGTACGAAACGTCGATCGAAGATTATCTACCTACTAATATTAGGTGGTGGAATTGTGGTGAGGCAAGGTCTCTACGTCACCAGAGGAAAGCAATCTGAACCTTTCCAAAATAAACTTAAAAATGTATTTCAATTAATTAAGGTTTTTAGTTGAGATAAAAAAAGTTAGTTCACGAGCGGGATTCGAACCCACGATTTTCGGCTAGATACGCCGCTGCACTACCACTTGAGCTATCCTGACCTCGATCCAGTCGGACACAAAGGAGGGAAAATTCAAAAGGCAGGGTTGAGATGGGAACGTAGAGTCCGAGGTCACGATAGCTCAAGTGGTGGAGCAGCGGCGTATCTAGCCGAAGATCGTGGGTTCGAATCCCGCTCGTGACACTGACTTTTTTTATAAAAGATAGAAAGATATTAATTGGTCAATTGGACCACGAAAACTAGTGAATTTAAAAATGTATGTTCTTTATTTTCAGTTCATTTTTTATTTGAATAGGTTTCCGTCAGCTGACGTTACCTCGAGTATGTATTTCAAATAATAATTCATCAAACAATCGAATTCCAAGTGTTATATTGTCTTCCAATAATTAGTCCATAAAGTCATTTATATACTAATGTTCTTTTTTAGTTGTATTTATTTTATACCGTGGATGTTGTTGGCAGTAAAATCTTTACTTTAGATGGGTAATGTAACAGGGTTATGATCAGTCAGGCAGCTTTCGACCTATATTTGTCTTTCTTTAGGGCTTAGATATAATGTTGATATATAAATTACAAGTGACAGTCATTAGTGAATACCGTTATTTTTAATGACTACACCTAATTGGTTCACAGCTGACTGACCTCAACCCTGATAATACTACCGATTGATTTTTAGTACTAAATACATACATCACTTTAAACTTTCCATTACTTTTAATGTTTCTGATGTTTGATGTTATTGAGTCTTTTTTATTACAGATTCCAAGCCTCTCTAGGTAAATGTATTTCGTACAATTCTAATTGCCCAGTAGCGTAGGCGTATAACATCCATGTAATACATAATTGTTCATATTATCCCTTCGAAATCCATCAACGGGAGTTTTGTTTTAAGCCTCTTGAGCAACAAGACGACAAGGAGGATAAGGAGAATCAAAGCGATGCAGCTCAGCACGCTGAATCTCCTCATGTAAGTCTGAGCACTGTGAACAACGATTATATCCCGATTCATGCTTATAAACGAACAATTCTAAAAGAACGTATGCTAAAATGTTCAAATATTTTGAGATAAGGATCAGCTGGGAATTTTTTTTTTTTAAAGAAACTATAGAGCTAAATTCATCATAGCGTTTAACGAAGGCTTATACCAGTTCTTATACCTTGTGAGTTTTGATTTAAAAATCGTTTTATTGGACTGTTTGGATTTTTTCAGTAAGAAGCATATCGCCAGAATATATGACGGTCTGCGTTGATGACAGCTCTGAAATAAAAGGTCACAGCGGCAAAAACCCCTCCGACGATGATCAGAGTTATCAGCACGTTCTTTTCCACCTTTCTCGAAGATCTCACCATGTGCTCGCATTTAGGACGAGAAGGCATCCTGCAATCTCCTTCGCCTCTTTCTAGCATTTTCCTTTTTTTTTAAACTTCGGACTCTTAACGCCTCCAACCTCTGAAGTCGATAAAACACACTTGACACTATAGAACCGATAGGAGAGTACAGTCTACAAAACTATTATTCCATATTGTACTTTTTGTTCATGTCGTCAAACATATGTCGATTAACTTGAAAATAAAGCATTAATTCGGATGAAAACTTTCCATACACATTATATTCGTATTACCTTTAAATTAAAATTATTGGTTTCTTTTTATAATAACTTTTAACAAATAATTTAATGAATATCGAACACGGAAACATATGAAATATAACCAATGCCTATCATATTGTGTCGAAAGACCTTAATTTCTTTTCTTTATTTTTTTTAATTTTTTTTTTTTTAGTTTATGTTCCAACACGAACAGTTTTGTATTTGGGGGATAGAGGTCAGAAGGGGGAGTTCTACATAAAGGTTGGCGCTGTATTTTATGGATTTAGAGTGCCATTAGTTCAACAGAAAAAATAAGAAGCAGAATCGCTTGAGTCTTGTAAGCCCTGTTGAGTTGGATTAGGAAAAGGTTAGCGGCTTATTTGGGATTTACTGATACAGGGTAGAAAAGCAACAGTGGGAAATCTAGGATATGGGGCTTCCAGGAAAAGATTGTACAGGCCAGGTGCAGACGTTAAAGATCCTCATTGTCCTTCTAAGGGCGACCGAGTATACGGAAGCAATTCTGAGACATCCCAAGGTGATGGAGGGCAGTTTGGTTCCCGATTACTCATCGTCAACAAGACAAGAGGATCTTTAACGTCGGCCTTATCGGACGTTTTGATTCTCAAGATGAGAGCTGACGCACTTCTGCATACGACGGAAAAGTGTTACCGCCGCAGCATTGGTGTAGTGGTGTCCCGGCCCCTAAGGGTCAGTAGCCACGCTCTCCGCTTGTCCACTCCGAATGGTCGGGCCCTCATTGTGCGTCGGGTCGTACGCCGCACGCGAGGGGCTAACGGGCCGAAATACATCAGCCCGTCCCCCCCCCGCGTACTCCCTAGATAGAGAAGGTGACTCTATCTCTCTGAGTGTAGAGGCTCCTCCAGCGTAGAAACTTTCGGGAACGCCCCGACAGCGGTTTCGGATTATAAAGTGGGATTGCTACCCACCCCCTAGATGAGCACTGTGTACGGTCAAAGGTCTCTTATCGAGCTCAGCCTACACCTGCTGCACGTAATCGAGGGACGCCATAGGTCTAGCCTAGGTGGTCCGATCCTTCGCTTCCCCAAGGGTACCACGCCGGTCATACGCACAACAATGCAAAGCATACTCGAGTCAAAGACCGCCGATTGCACTACCCTTTTCCAATCGCTTACTCACGCACCCAGGGACTGTAGCATGATCATGACGTCCTCAACGCTTACATGCTGTCGTCCGGTCGCAACGTCTCCCGTGAGGAACGAGGGGTAATACGCTGGCCATGCGCAAGCTTCACGAAAGGTCCCAGATAGAAGACAGCCTCTGCCTAAGTTCCCGCCAGGGGCGTCACCACAAGCCACCACGAATCCGACAGAATGTGACAGAGGGCCGGATTCTGGAACATTTCTGTCACCCCGTGGTACAGATGGCCATACAACCCTCCCCCGTCTTTGCAGACAGGATCTGGTGCACTGGCCCTCGTGTGACTGCTAAGGCACCCGCCGCCCCTGCCGTCCCTGAGGCCGACATAAGAAAGCTTGTGCTTTAGAGAGGTTGCCACGCCCTCTGGGCTGCACCATTATTTTGTGCCCGGATACCCCCCTTGTAACCAAGGATTAGGAGGGGTCACAGGATAGAATGAAGGAATTCGGATTGAGAAACAGGGCCGTGGAAGAGAAAACGAGGTGAGCCGTTTCGGGGTCTCGAGTCTCAACCACATTATACCACCCGTCGTCGCCGTGGTTCCACATAGAGTGGGCCATGACTCCCAGGGTGGGTGAAGCGATATGGCCGTTCAAATGGCGGGATTCGACCCAAAACCTTCGGCTCAATACTCCGCTGCTCTAACCAGTTGAGCAGTCGCGACTTTTGAAGTCTGATTTTGAAGGTAATGGCGGCAGTAGCGGTGTATTGAACCGAAGGTCATGAGTTGGAATCCCGCTCATGGTACTAATTTTTCATTTCAACTGAAAACCTTAGATGAAAAGAATAATTAATTTGCAATAATTAATATGGTAAATTATGGGCACTAAACAAATATGTATTAATACCAACATATGTTTCGCAATTCGCCCCGGCCCTGCAGATGACCCGAATAAAGTTCGAAACGAGGCCAAAAAAATGTGTTTTTCTAAAATACTTCATTCCTGATCGATCCACACTACTAGAACAAGTTAATTAACCAATATGACTCCAAATGTGACGTCACTTAGATCGCGTTGCCTGGTAGGCAAAGTTTCCCTTTATTTTTGTTATCGCTCGCAGTTGAAACTTGAAAGTGCTGTCAAATTTATGTTAGCTGAAATTTGAAAGCGGCATGATTTCACATAGTCGTTGAGTTAACTCTGCTTACAATAAAACTTATTTTATTTCAGTTTAATTCTTTAAGGTATGTAGTTCAAACAGTATTTTGTGATATTTATGTACCTATCTAAAAACTTTTTTGCTCTTCTTGCCTTCCTTTTTTTTTTTTTTTTTTTTTTTTTTTTTTTTGGCCTTATGGTCTAGCATATTGGCCAAGTCTCAGTGCTTCTTTTAATTTGCTTCCTTCTTATTTATCCATCTCCCTTAACAGTTTTTCTACTTATCCACGTTACCTGTCTCATATTTGTCTAGCTATCTAGCCTACCTTTATTGCCTCACATTTGTCTAGATATCTAACAACTTACTCTACCTACTTTCATAGCCCCATATTATTTAGATATCTAACAACTTTCTTACCTATTTTTTACCCCCTGAATTCAACTTAAATAAAATCTCTTCCATTCTCCAGTCACATCCTTTGGTGATGGTCAATCACAACTCTCCTGCGTTGTAAGTCTATTTTGTGTACCATCATCCTAGCCAGTGTCCGTCATCTTTATCATATTTCGCTCAACAGCCAGGTTTGTTGAACGGGCAGTTAAAAAGCTGTGCTCTTTGTCCATAGGAGCGCACACTATGGACTTCAGCGTTACGGGCTGATTGATCCCGAGTTCCCTGAGCGTCTTCTAATGACGCTCAGGTATGTGTAATCTTGCGCCTACCACTACACCCACTTTTTTAAAGAAATTTTCGTGGAGTAGCTCTGTAAGGGCTTCCCTCAATATCTCAATTTTTTTTAGGTTTTGAGGTCTGCCACCTGATCCAATACTCCTGCAGTCTCATACCATCTTGAGGTCTTTGATGAAAACTTTTTTGCCGGCGGCAATGATATTCGGCCAGATACATGCCCCATCAAGTAATCGGTGGGAAATTTTGATGGCGATCAGTATCCTTAGTCATGGAGGCACCCATCATTCCTCGTTACAAGCCCCGCATCCACTACATTGCACTGGCAAGCTCAAGTCTGCCGCCCTCCTCATCACCTCCCTTATACCCATCATACCATTATTTCATATTTATCCGTACATCTGACAACTTACCTATCTATCTTTATTGCCTCATATATATCTAAATATCTAATAACCTTCTTAATTTCTTTCCTACCATATTTGCTTCCTATTTAACTACCTATCTAACAATTTTTCTATTATAATAGAACAGCATAAATACTAATTTATCCTTAATTATGAAAATATCAACTAGTTTCAAGTATACTTTATCTTTTTGACTGCTATTTTAACCAATTGTTTATTTAATTTACAGTTCAGAGATGAACGTGCAAAGAGATTTTTATATGAAAGCCCTAACCAATATTGGTTATGCTATCAATACCTCCTGGGACTTGGAACAGGTGGAGAAACTACTTTTTAAATGTTCTACAAAGAGGAAAACAATCCTTAAAAAAGTAGCCTGTGCAATAGAAAATAAGGATAGAGATGATTACACAGATGAAGGTATAAATTTTAATGTTTTACCTCTGGCTGTTTCAAACTTACGCAAAACTAACTTACAGATTTATTCTTCCTTGGCCTAAGATAAAAGTTGTACTAGTACAATGCTAAATAAAGCGGTAACAACTTATTAGCCGAAGAAAACAAAAATGGTCTAAGTATTTCAGACTGATGTATCTGGGGTTATATGGCCCAGAATCTGTAAAAGTGAATCATTTCTGCAATGCAGGATGGCTTAACAACTACCAATTTTGTCATGGTCTGTTCTCGATTCAGCAAGACAGACCCACCTCTGAATCCTTTTTATGAGAAACAGAGCCCCAGAGGTCTTGATCGAAACTGAACACAGCCGATCAGGTGCCTTTTTATAATAAAATTTAATTAAAGTTTGAAAACAATTTATTAATTATACAAGAAAATAATTTAAATCAATTAATTTCGTTTTTAAATTTTGATCAAACAATTAAAACTTTTTAAATTTAAATAAACAATAATTTCATGCAAACCGTTTGCCAGACTATTTAACAGGGGTGGATAGGTACTCACTGTTTACAGTCAATCCGCAGTGGACCGAAGGACTCTATTTTAGGGAATACAACACTTTTTAAATTCTTTTTAGGATCGCACACTTCTTTTGTCTACCATCTACTGGAATGGACTTGTTCACTTCTAGATTGTCTCTCCTTGTCCAGATCCTCTTTTATTTTTTACTCTAGGCCTAATCTTGAAAACTAAATCACAACATTATCACTTTGAAATAAATTGAAATGTGACAAAAACATTGGGTATTGTGAACATGGGGTCAAAACCATATTACAACACATTTTTTTTTTCAAATTATAAAATTTCCCATTTAATTACCCCCTTTAAACAAATGGCAACAAACAGAGATCTATCTCTAAATATGAAACAGCAAACTAGACATTGAATCATACTAAAATTTAGCGCGGAAACAGATAGGGAAATAAGCAAAGGCGACCAAATGCATATTCTAGAGTATGGAAATAAAGAAGGATCAATCCCACAATACATTTTTTAAAGGGATCCACAGGGATTTCTCCTCCTCTCTTTTTTTTCTCTCTCTCAATTTATAATTGTTATCTATATGTACATAACTAATAACTTTCTTAATTACCTACTTACTTTATTTGCTTATTATATGCTTTTTACTTACCTACCTTAATTTCTTGTTTCCTATTTATCTACCTCCCTAACAATATTCTTGATTGCAAACCTCCCTTACTTGCCTTCTTTTGATCTACTTATCTAATAACTTTTTCATTTACTTACATATATTTCCTGCTTCCTATTTATCTAACCTTCCTAATAACTTTCTTAATTGCCAACCTACCATACTTGTCTATTAATCCACCTTTTGAACAATTTTCTTAACTACTAAACTACCCTACTTTCCTCCAGCAGTGTTTTACTGAACCCATGGTCTAAAAACAATTTCTATACTTTTCTGTGCATATATTTATTTGTAATATAATTATAATACACTTCTGTGGCAGAGTTGCTTCGAGTAATCAACAGTATTGTTCACATCCCTAAGAACTTGGACAAATCATTCATTGAAGTAAGGCTTTCTTTATAAAACATAATAATTACTATTATTATTTTAACACGGGTCTTTTTGATTGAATAACTTTTCTTAGGGTGTTACAACTAAATCAATTCAGAAAAAATTATGGTCCTCTATATTTCATGAATTGAAACATTTAAGTTTTGTGGAACCAGCGAAACAGATATCGGTTGAAAAATACTTTTATTTCCTTAACAAATTAGTAATTGAGAAAAAGGTAAATATATTAGATATTATTCATCGGCATGTTAGTATAGTTTTTGTTTTTTTAAGTTTCCTTATGATACGGCTGTTGAAATGTTTGGCGTTCAAGAAGAATGTAATGAAACGGAGGGCCCAAACGTAACAGCGGACTTGATCGCTGAGCTCGATAAAACCATTATGGCAAGTTGTTATAAAAATCAAGCCAAACTTATTATAATTTATGTATAATCTTCATTCCAGGAGACAAAGGCAAAAATGAAAATCAGTCACACTGATGAAATTGTAGAGGTTCCAACATTCGAAAAAATTGATTGTTTGGTAAAACCGTTAGCTGATTTTAATAAAAGATGCAAAGAAAAAGAGATAAAATGTGATGAGAATGTTATCACCGAAGTAACTTGCAAATTAGAAAATATTACAGATGTAAGAAAAACCAGTTATCTTTTGTTTGGCCATTTCTTATTTATTTTTCTCATTTTCAGAGTTTTAAAACCATAAGTGATATTAAATCCTTGCAAGGAGAAGAGAATTTCTTAAAGTATGGTGTTTTATGTAATTAATAAACAAACTTAATTTTATAACATTTTATATTTACAAAATTGTGTCACATTTGTATGTAAACTAAGAAAAAAAAATACTGTACAATATTTACAAATTAATTGCTTTCTATAAATATATTCTTATTAATATGGTAATTTCACAATTTACTGTGATAAGTGTCTTGTTCAAATCCTTTGTTTTCAAAACCGTTTACACCTTTCTTTTGTGGTACTGTTAAAACATCGCAGTTGTTTGTTGCGACCTGCTTGATGGGTGCACTTTCAGCATCAAATGCTGCTTTTTGTGCGTCTTTCTTGTGTTCGGTGTACATCCACCTTTAAAATGGAAAATTTTATATGAAGATCAAATATTACTTTGGTAAATGTAAAGGTTTCTTACAAAAATATTAAAACAGCTGGCGCAGTCAGTCCTCCACCAAGTAAGAAAAATGCCCCAGGTACAGTGTCCATAGTCGCTCGGTACACAGCGCTATAGAGAGGGCCATAAACAACAGGAACTATAGCTTCTGCTAGTCCAAATACAGAATTTATTTTTCCTGAAATTTATTTATTTATTTTTTACAATTTCAGCTCTATTAATACCAAATTACATATTTTAATTTTAAAAAATATTTACCTAATTCATCAGGAGGGACTAGTTTTGAAATGATAGACCTCATCGCAATGAAAGAAGTGCCGTTTACAATATCAACCAATGGAGCTGGAATCAATTCAGAAGATTAATTTAACTTATTCCTTCCTTATTAATTATTAAAATTCTACCTAAATAAAACACCCAAGTCGATGTGGCAAAGGCATAAACAAATCCTGCAAGGATTTTACTCATGCAAGACATCACTCCAATAAGAGCGTCGTCGATTTTCAAAAAGTGGCTAAACACTCCAACCGAAATTGCAGTTCCTGTAAATAATTTTTATAGATAAATTCTGAAATACTCTTATTTACGACACGATAAATGGATATCTTATAAATACCTATTAGGTTGGTTATCATGCTGTATGTGGAAAATATGCTGAAGTCTACTTCGTTCCAGTTGAACCGATAGCGTGTGAACAGATACATGACAGTCATTTCACCTGGAATCAAACAAATTAGTTTATTTTAGACATTTTGTTTTACAGTAATCAATTGGAATACACAGTTAACATTTAACAGACTATTAAGAACTTAAAGTTGTGTCACAAGGAAACACCTTAAGCCCCCCCATTTCTTGTACACATAGAGGAAAAATATAAGAAAGATTACAAATAAGAAAAATAATCAGATTGGAATGGTAACTAGTAAATTATCGGAATGGAAGAAAAATCCTTAGCAGAAAAACAAAGTAAAAAATATAGTTTTCAAAATAAAAGTAATATTTCATAAATCATTCCTAACCATTCATAATTATCAAGGAGATTAATATTTTGAGGTTATGTCAAGTCTGTTCAAATATCTGAATTTCTTGATAAGAAAGTGTGAACTTTGTTTATGAATGATCGAATGATCTACAAAAGATAGAATTGTACAAATAACTCATCGGGAGGAGTCTGTTAGAAGAGCAATGCTGTCGATACTTTCTTCTTTAAGTTCTATATGGAACTATTTTATAATCATGGAATTGATCTGTAGCGAGTCTTGATTGAAACTGAATTAAATCAAGAGGGTAGTTTCTAATAGATATTTTAGGTTGCAGTGGAAGAAAGGGAGATTATCGTTACTACTGGCATTGGAGAGGAGGAAAAAAATAATAAAGACTAGCAGGTCAAAGATATACCAGCACTGAGGGCTTCATACTCCTATCTCAAACTAAAAAATATTTCCAACTTATGAGAAAATGCAATAAGGTAACTCTGATGTGGGTAGCAGGACATGAGGGGATTGAAGTCAAGACAAACTACCAAACACACCAGAACTGCAAAAATAAATTACTACAGATTGGTGTAAAAGTTTGTGAGCTTAGAGGTTAAAAAGCTAATATTTTAGGTTATATCGACTTTTCATTTAATTAAATAGATCAAAGTGAAAATAAATCAAGTACATGGTAGTAAGTATCTACTTTGTTTACAATTTTTTCCATTGATGGGTAATCTAGATAAATTTACAATTAAATTGTGTCAACTGTTAGAATGGTCTATATGTTTGGGAGCTTAGGGATTAAAAGACAACCTTTTAGGTTATATTTATTTTTTTATATTATTGCACATATCAAAGTAAAAATAAATCAAGTACAAGGTAATTAAGCATGAACTTACAATAATTTTCCATTGATGGATAATCTAGTTAAATTTGAAATTAAATTGCGTAAACTACTGGAACAGTGTAAAATGTCTAGGAGCTTAGGGACTAAAAGCCAATCTTTTAGGTTATATGTTGTATTGAATTTTTTATTTTATTACATCAATCAAAGTGAAAATAAATCAAGTACATGGTAATTAAGCATAAATTTGGTTACATTTATTTTCCATTAATGGATAATATAGATAAATTTGAAATTAAATTGTGTAAACTATTAGAATGGTGTAAAATGTTTGGGGGCTTAAGGATTAAAAGCTAACCTTTTAAGTTATATCAAATCTGTTCATTTTATTGCATCAATCAAAGTGAAAATAAATCAAGTACATGATAATTAAGTATGAACTTTCCTGGTAAATGTTTTCTACTAATAGATAATATTTTTTTGCATTGATTCAGAAATTGCCATCGCAGCAAACGATTCTGAGATGTCTATGTGAAATTTTGTTCAAGTAAGGCCAAGGGACTGTGAGGAAATGATTTAGGGCCAAAATATCACGTTCAAAGGATTACTTATAAAAATAGTAGTTAATTTTTCAAAATTGAAGAACTATATAGAAATGATCTTTACAATGGATTTCTTATCCATAGATCGCTTATTTCATATCCAGCCCGGAGGTCCAAAAAAATACGACTAAAATTCTTGCTCTTTTCATTTCCTATCGTTAATAGATTATCGTAACATTTAAAATATGTTAATACACTAATATATTAATGGCCTCAGGACTGTGTTACCAAATTAATTTTATTAAAATGTACTTGTTTCTTAAGACTTTCGTTTAAATGTAATTAACGGTTTGGTTGGCTGATATTTATTATGTATGAAGGCGACGTGCAGTATCAGACCATAGACTGTTTCCTGGCCGAAGGATCATCCTTGTTCGGACAGGAAGCGGGATCCTTCCGCTTCGTCGCCTCTACCCATCTGCCCCAGGTCGTCCGGCATACAGAACAACTTTCGCGGGCAGTATCGCCCATGACCTGATAACGAAATGAAATGCAAACCCAACAGCCTTCGCGAGGCTGGTGGAGTTGCCGAATTCGGGCTTTTATGCCGTTCCCGCCGTCGTTTTCAACAACAATGGAAGCATTTATTACATTAAATATTTCGCTAATCTACAATCTTATCGAAAGATGAGAAAAAAAGTTTTGAGAAAAACCTATTGTCTTGTTTCAACTCTCGTGACCAATCACAGACCAAGGCTTATGCCCTTTGTAAATTTAAGGCCAGGCATAATTGTCAGTAATTATTTTCAATCCAATTAACTAATTTTTAGTAGTGTCCATCCTAATTTTGTGGAACTCTATAATAAATTGAGGCTAGGAAATAAATTATATTTTTTGCCACATGCTACTTGCCACATCCATAATCGTCCAGATATCCACTTTTAAACTTACAACTATGTGACAAACCGTGAAACAACTTTATTTTTAAAAAAAGTTACTGAAGATGGCTTATAGTCGACGCGTCTGACGAAATAAACTTCTATGTGGAAAAGTCCATTTATTTCCTACCCATCAACCAATTAATTAATGATGAAAGATAAGTGATATATAATGATATATTAGAAATATAAAAAAACTTATAAATTAGCATATTAATCCATTTATATATATTTAATAGTCATAATTGACATATTAATTGTTTTAATTAATTATAATTTTAATCTAAGGTCTTTGTAAAATGAAAAAGCTAGTATCATGAGCGGGATTCGAACCAGTCCCTCTCACGAACTCTAACCACTTGAACTATCGTGACTTCGATCATTCGGACACCAACTTCAACCTTTCGAATTTTCCCTCTTTTTTTAGAGCAGCGGCGTATTGAGCCAAGGTCGTGGGTTCGAATCCCCCTCGTGACACTAGCTTTTCCATCTCATCCAAGACCCTAGGTTAAAAGTATAATTAATTATAAAGCTGTTGTAGCTACGACTTTAGCTAATTTAGTATTTCCCACTCCATATTAAATTGATACTTCACTTATTTTCCAATTGTATTTATTCTTTTATCAAACACTTGGCTTATTATAATTTGTATGGAAAACATATTTTTTATACTTGGGAATTTTACTGAAATGGAATTGGCTATTATTGACACAAAGAAATGGTTCGATAATTTAATTTAATATTAATAATTTATTTTTAATTTAATAGCGATGAACATGAATTATTTTCACTTTGGTCTAAGCAATAAAGCAAATAAATATAACATAACTTCATAGATTTGCTTGTAACCCCCTAAGCCCACAAATATTTCACATCATTATAACATTTTACATGTTTAATTTCAAATTTCTCTTGATTATCCATTAATGGAAAAAATTATGACCAAAGTTCATGCTTAAATATCATACTTAAATATCGTACTTGATTTATTTTAGCTCTGATCAAAGCAATAAGGTGAAAAACAATGAAATAACCTTATTTGTCCACAACCCTTAGTCCCACAAAAATTTTATATCGTTCTAACGTTTTACGAGTTTTCTATATTTTTTCTATATTAAACTATAAATAAAATACGTTTATCAGTAAAGTACAAAGTTTACTTATTAAGCACGTTCTGTTAGTGCCATTTCTCTCTTTCTGGAAGATTGAAACAACTTGAGATAACCTTAAAATGTCCAACGTCGTTTATAAGTTTGGAGGAATGATAAACTATTGTATAATATTATTTTTATTATGAATAATGAATTTCGTTTTCTCACTTTTCAAAATTTGTTTTAGAATATCCACTAGAGGAATAAAATAACCCTTGCTTTTACATTTTGTAAATTTTACAACCATATTCTATCTGCATAACAGTTTACACGTTTTATTTTCAAATTTCTCCTCATAGTTATCTACGAATATAAAACATTAATGACCAAAGTTCATGTTTAAATATCACATACCTGATTTATTTTCGCTTCGCTCGACAATGTTGATTCATTATATTTTTCTGGTCCTCCGGGCCGGATATGAACACAATGACCAAATCTAATAAAAACCATTTGATTTTTTATGTATTTTCTAATTTTTGACAAATTCGACCAACCGATGGAATTTTTGCTTGTGATTATTATTGCTAATTAACAAGTTATTTGAAAATAGTCAATCGTTAAGTAGAATGGTTTGTATATCTAACATTTGTTCATTTTAACGTTTTATTGTTGCTAATTATCAATTTAACTTGAATGGACATTCGAAAAGTAAAAAAATGTAGTCGATACATCGTCAGTTTTTTACAACTGACAATTGAAAAATGAATGGTCAGACAAGTATTAGAATATAAACAATTTGATAAAAATATTTTTCACAGTAACCTTGATTACTGTTTCTTATTTGTTAAACAAACTGTAAAATAACAGATTATTGCTTCGAATTAGTCAAAAAAAGCATTTGTGTTTTCCTTTATCAGAAAGTAAATTGCGTATTTTTAACAACAGCGAGACGACAGCCAAGGGCACAAAACATTTCACTATTTTTTATGACCGACCGTTTAAAAATTACATTTTGGCTGTACGCAGTTCTGCAAATGACTGGTATGAAAACTTATTTGTGAAAACTATTGGTGGTTGTCGTCAAACAAAAATAAAAACTTCAAAATTTTTTGAAATAGCTTGCATTTGTTATAGAGGTAGAGAGATGTGTGAGAGAAATAATGTTTGCTTGTGTGTGTGTGTGTGTGTGTGTGTGTGTGTGTGTGTGTGTGTGTGTGTGTGTGTGTGTGTGTGTGTGTGTGTGTNTGTGTGTCCCTGCGTTTGTTTGCTTGTGTGTGTGTGTGTGTGTGTGTGTGTGTGTGTGTGTGTGTGTGTGTGTGTGTG